CAGCCACAGTCGAGCGCGTCCTGCAGTCTTGCCATACATGAAAGGAGTCACTGACAAGATTGGCTACATTCTAAAGTGAGCTTCAATTAAAACTTACTTCAAGCCGCCAAAGAAAATTAGTCAGTTCTTACCACCTGTCAAGTGCCACATCCCTCTACAAGATGCAGGAGTCTACAAGCTTGATTGTGATTGTGGGCTCTCTTACATTGGACAAACAAAGCGATCCATTAGAACCCGGGTCAAAGAACACATAGCTGATGTGAAGCACCGTCGCAATACAACATCTGCTGTCTGCAAACATAGCCAGGACCGCCCAAGCCATTATATTCGTTTCGATAGACCTCAAATCCTGGCGAAAGAAAACCGATATCGCCCTAGAATGATTCGAGAAGCCATAGAAATTAAAAAACATCCAAATTTCAATAGGGAAGATGGCTGGGTACTACCATCGTCATGGGATCCTGTTATTAATATAATAAAATCAAATAGTAAATATAAACATAACAGACAGGCAGATGTAGTAAGTTCATACTGTGTAGATCAAAATGACAGCTTATCAGATTAATATTTTTCATTTGTAAAAGTATATATTAATAGTGTTGCTTAGTAAGTTGTTTTAAATAATAGCAAACTAAATTAAAATGATTATCCGTAATTAATTTTAACTTTTTAAATTACACATAGAACAATTATATGGCTTTAATAATTAATACTATATTTTTATATTTTTATTTATGGTTATAAATATAATAATGGCAACACTAAATATAGATTACTAATTAATATTTTTAAAATTGTAATAATTATAAAAATAATAGCAAAAATTAAATAAATAATTTTCCATATTCAATTATAATTAAAATTATAAAAATGTTTAAAGTTAAAAATATTGTAATGTAATTGGTGCAATTTTCATTTTGTTAATTGTGGGTAGGCTGTCTGTAACAACTATATCTTTAAGACATGTAACACCTCAGTCTCTCCCGTGACCATGGATGCTGTAAAGCATTCGAAACGTCGGGAACCAAAAATCAAAATAAATCCGCGAAATAATCCGAAAAGATAGTTTTATTTAATAACTACCAATCAGTTATTTTTTACTTTTTAGTGCTTTTGTTTGAAGTCGGTTTTTATTTTTTTGTTAAAAAGTTTTTATTTTTCCCTTTTTAGTGTAGACAGTAGTAGCAAAGTAAGGATTCTAACGTGTTAGGCTTGTCAAATCAAACAAAATAAGCCCAAACTCAAAGTATCTACTATTAGCCGTTGAAGAGTTCCACCTATCCACCTTCTGGCCTTGCCATCAGATCAGGTCAACAACACCGAACCACTGTACTATCAACGGAAATAGAAATACTTGCAAAGTTTCAAGTCAATATGACAATTAGAAGTACGTTAAATTCATCATTAGTTGTTTTTCCACCCTTAGGGGTGGTATTTTTTTTTGAAATTTAAATGGGACCAATCTGGAAGTATACCCTTTCAAACGACACAAAAATTGTTCAAATCGGTTAATAAATGACGGAGTTCTGAGGTAACAAACATAAAAAAAAAAAAAAAAAAAAAAAAAAAAACATACAGTCGAATTGAGAACCTCCTCCTTTTTGAAGTCGGTTGAAAAAGAAGTCATACGAAACTGGAAACATCAGAAAGAATATATGTCAATCAACAATATTTTTCAAAAAAATATAAATATTTTAAAATTCTAGTCGACATAATTATTTTTAATTATCTGTTTATTTGGCTTTATTATATTACCGAGTCTAACTGGCACGCAGCTAGGAATAGTATTGTAAAACATCCAATTATGATACCATTTTAAGCTTCAATTACTATCTGCACGCTTTTTCTGTTCTGAGGTGACATTGTATTGACATTAAATTTATCTAAACATATTTTTCTGAACAGTAAAGTTCGTCTATGGCTGTGTCTACACGTGGCGTGGTTTATACTCGGAATTGCGAACCTAACACATGGTCACAGACCTTGTGGCTTTTATGCAGCCTTGGTGCCTTTCACCATTACGGGCTTTACAGTATTGTTGGTCGATCTACTTTACGTGGGCCTTTTCTTGAAGGATGTCGCAGTGACAAACAATGAGAGTAAGTTTAAAAAGTACCTCACTAAATCATACAGATATTTTTACCATAATTTACATTTTACTCAGCCCTTTATAACATCCCACTGCTGAAGACTGGCGTTCCTTTAATACGAAGAGGATCAGGTCATAGTCCACCACTCCGGCCAATTGCGGGTTGGCGGACTGCACAATCACGTGTCTTAAAATTTGTTAGATTCTCTCAGACCTGCATGTTTTGTTTTCCTTTACCTTAACACAAGTGGTTATCATGTTGGAAATGATTTGTAGATGAAAATATCAGAAGTGCGAGGCCTGGGATTTGAACCCGCTTCACTCGGTTGTTTAAGTGAGTGCGTTAGAACTAAACTACCACTGCCCAGTTATTATTTACATAATTTTAATAATTATTATACACAAAAAACTATACACCTTTCTAGTATTCACTTTAGATACATTAATCTAGAATGAATTTATTGAAGTATACGTGGCAATATTTTTTTAATCAACAATTTTGTCATTTGCATTCTTTAACAATCCTTCTGTACAGACTGTAGTACTTCAATACCTATGTACATGATGTTTTTATTGAATTTGCATACAAAACTCTTACAAATTGACCAATAAACTGACTAATAGAGCTATTTGCTTTGACTCTTCTTCTCATATCCCCAACCAATATCGTGCATCAGTCACCACGTAAAGCTAATCTTACTGCCCTATGCAATCTCACGCAATATGTCCCATCGGTTAGCAGTTGATAGGAACCTTCGATATAATAAATGCCTTCAGGCTTCCGTTAATCTAACCAACTAAAGTTAGATGTTATCGGATACTCAGGATGCCTTGATCAAGTTTACTCTATTAAGTAGGGAAGACGAACTATGTTGTAATATGCTTTAAAATACGTAACAATAGGTCAGTTATTCTTACTAATCCTACTAATATTATAAATGCGAAAGTTTGTGAGGGTGTATGGATGTCTGGATGTTTAGATGTATGGATGTTTGCTACTCTTTCACGTAAAATGAAATTGAATGAAATGAAACTTTAAGTAATATAGCTCATACATCAAAATAACACAGGCTACTTTTATCCCGGAAAAATGCGCGGTTCCCGTGGAGTAGATTTGTATTTGTTGTCCCAGAGGCGAACTCGAGCGAAGCGAAGGTGGTCCGCTGGTATTAAATAAGAAACCTACAGTGTTTTAAACTATGATCATAGCCCTTTTACACAATGTTTCACCTAACAATTAAAATTTCTTGATTTAATATACCTACTAACATGCAAATTAATAAAACTTGAAAATGTTTTCAGCTTAAATAAAAAGTCGTTTAAACTTCAATCCCACTTTTAAAGACCTATCCAAATGCCATGTGAGCTTAAATTTTTAAACCCTCTATTACACTTGACTTTCACCCTTATTTTTGTATTTTTCGTAATTTTAATACAACATTTTCAATCTATATCAGTATCTGAGTGAAATGACTGTGACATACAGACGGAGGGATTTCGTTTTTTTTTTTGAGGTTTTTGGTTTTTGGTTCCCGACTTTTCGAAAGCTTTCGGCTGTCATAGTCCCGGGAGAAACTCAGTCTCTAAAATGAAAATCCGAAAAGATTGTATTTAAAACACTAAAATAATTTTATTAAAGAACTATCCGTGTGTAATATGGCAATTAAAACTCCATTTTTGGATAATGGAAGGCTTGGATAAGGTCGATTTTAACATATTAGTAATTTTTATCTGCTACCCTCTGAGGGACGGAAGGGACGATATTAGACCGAGCACCCGGAATAATTAAGTATCCAATAGATATTCTATTCCCAAAAATCTGGACTCATAAGAGGTTTTAAAGGTTATATGGAATTAAATTACTTAGTAAAATTAAATGTGTATAAAACATGAACTCCCATTAATAAATTGTTTATGTTTTTAAGTACCTTTTAAATGATCTTGATTTATGAAAGAAATATTAGTACATTTTTTTAATTCAAAAATAAGTATCTATACTAATATTATAAAGGGGTATAGTTTGTGAGTTTGTGAATTGTGACGTTGTAGGGTAATCTCTGAATGTACTGAATCGATTTAGATGAAATTTGGTAAGAAGATAGGTTGAAACCCTGGGAAGGACATAGGATACTTTTTGTCCCGGAAATCATTCCTTAAGGGGGTGAAAATGGGGATGAAAGTTTGTATGGGGAATCAACCTAGGGACGAACCCGAGCGAAGCAAGGGTGAGTTGCTAGTCTATCATAAAACAATAAATTAGATTTTTTCTCCTCTTCTAATTTTCTGGCTGAATCGCTAACAAAAAGGCGAACAGATGAATATTTAAAAATAATGTTTTGACTCCATTGTTGTTCAAGTTGGTCTTTTCGAAATTGCACAAACACTATCGATTTCAAACTTTTTATAACATTTTATTTACTAGTGTTCGCCCAAGGATGGAAATTCGACTATAATCATTATTGAAAATTTGAGAAAAACATACATATTTAAATAGAATTTACCTATGATATAAAAAAACTAACTGTTTCCAAAAAAAAAAACATTTTAATAGACTATGTAAACTAAATACATTACACAAAAGAGGTGCACCCTCGCTTCGCGCAGTTTCGCCTCTAGAAAAACAAAAACAAATTTATCCCATGGGAACCGAACATTTTTCCAGAACAAAAAGTAGCCTATGTGTTATTCTGATGTATGAGCTATATTATTGTAAAATGTCATTAAAATCTATTCAATAGTTTTTGCGTGAAAGAGTAACAAACATCCATACATTCTTACAAACTTTCGCATTTATAATATTAGTATAGAGACTCCACAATCTTTCACATTACTAAAAAAGAATTTTAAGATTACAATTAAAAAATATTAATATTCATTTATAAACCAATATTCTACATACATAGTTGCGATAATGGAGTATATAAACTCCAAGAGTGATAATATCAAATGGATCAACAAGCCGCACCATGAGTACACTACCCTAGATGACGAGGACACGAGCTGGATTGCTCTCTTATTCGCCTATGGCAGCTGTAGAGGGATAGTCCAGTGGTTTATAAACTTCTGGATAGTGAAAGATAATTATTTCGAAGGACTTAATGATTATCGTTAGTATTTTCTCATAAACATTTTATTTAAAATTAGTTTTTGTCCGCGGTTCCTCTCATGTAGTTTATTTATATATCAATTAGTATTTTATTTAACGTATAGTAAAAAAAAGCGTATCTTCCAGAAAATTTAAAACGGCAGAGAAAATCGTCATAATCGTAACAATTTTCTATCAACAAAAGAATTGATAATAATCGACATTTTAAACTGGCATTGAAATGTTTCAGATCGTCATCAAAGAGAAATGTCGAGACGAACAATGAAGGTTTAATTCAGTGGAATTTCTTTTACAAAAAGTAATAAACAGCCTCGAGCAACTTAACATCTTCTTTTCTTGTGCCTATTAATAAAATAATTTATTTATTTATTTATATTTTATTTATAAATATTTTATTGCACAAGTTACACTATAATAATACAGAAAATGAAAAAAAAACATGTGTGTAGTTCATACGCAGTAGAAAAAGTTTTACCTTCAAAAAAAGTAAATTTAATTACAAGTGATGAGACGAATGTAAAATTTCAGGATAATTTTTGTAGGGTTTATCTATAGAGATAAATAAAATCGAAGTGTCTGTTTGTAATGTTAAAATAACACCTTTTTACTAAATGCATATGAAATTTTATAAGTTTTTTTTAAGAAAAACACAATTTAAAAAAAATGACATTTTATGGCAAAACCATTTTTAACCGACTTCCAAACAGGAGGAGGTTCTCAATTCGTCAAAATCTTTTTTTTTATGTATGTTCACCGATTACTCAAAGACGCCTGAACCGATTTGGATTTTTTTTGTTTCAAAGGTATACTTCCCAGTTGGTCCCATATAAATTTTATCGAAATCAGTCGAGCGGTTTTTAAAAAAAATTAACAATAAATATTTTTTTAAATAAATTGTTTATTCGAATATGTTATTAAAAAACTTTCTTCTTACAAATTACCTGCTTATTATGTTTACACTAAAAATGGAAAAATAAAAACTTAAAAAAAAAACCTACAATGTTTTAAGAAATGAATATCTAATAGGTAAATATGTATTTTACGTATCGAAATATGCAATATTAGATTTGCTTCGCATCGGCTGGCACCGACTTCGAAAATATCTGATTAGGTACCTATTCTAAATGAAAATCTCCTTTTACTTATTTTTTACATTTTAGTGCCTGGAAGTCGGTTTTTATATTTTTTTAAGTTTATATTGTCGAAAATGTGTGTGTGTGTGTGTGAATATTTCCTTCCATTCACTGTTAGTTGAAAATAATTTTTAATAATAAACGTAGTCACGGGCAATTACTAGTTAAATTATAATTAGTCTAACATAAATATGTATCTGTTAGAGTAATTTCAACATAAGCTAATACGTAAACTATTAAATATGTTCAGAAATACACATAAATATGCTCGTTTATTTCACGTTAACATTATAACGTTATAGGTTTATAATTAATCTATACTAATATTATAAAGAGGTAAAGTTTGTGAGTTTGTGACGTTGTAGGGGGTAATCTCTGGATATACTGAACCGATTTAGATGAAATTTGGTAAAAAATAGTTTGAGACCTTGGAAAGGACATAGGATACTTTTTATCCAGAAATCATCCCTTAAGAGGGTGAAATTCCCGCGGATGGTAGCTTCGCACCACCGGCCGCTCGGCCGAGTGCATGAACCAAATGTCCGAAACTGCGGTTCCTCTCGTACTGAGCAGTATTACTATCGCAACGACGAGCCATCAGTAGGGTAAAACTAACCTGTCTCACGACGGTCTAAACCCAACTCACGTTCCCTTTTGATGGGTGAACAATCCAACGCTTGGCGAATTTTGCTTCGCAATGATAGGAAGAGCCGACATCGAAGGATCAAAAAGCAACGTCGCTATGAACGCTTGGCCGCCACAAGCCAGTTATCCCTGTGGTAACTTTTCTGGCACCTCTTGCTAAAAACTCTTTATACTAAAGGATCGATAGGCCGTGCTTTCGCAGTCCCTATGCGTACTGAACATCTGGATCAAGCCAGCTTTTGCCCTTTTGCTCCACGCGAGGTTTCTGTCCTCGCTGAGCTGGCCTTAGGACACCTGCGTTATTCTTTGACAGATGTACCGCCCCAGTCAAACTCCCCGCCTGGCAGTGTCCTCGAACCGGATCACGCGGGAGTTGTATGGCGACGAGCGTTGCCGCCACGCCGCCACTCTGCACGCTTGGAACGAAACACCGTACGCCCGCCGATATAATCGACCGCGCACCGCTTCCGCCCAACCGAGATTAAGAGGGTGAGGGATGAAAGTTTGTATGTGGAATCAAATATCAAAATCAAATATCATAATCAAAATCAAATAGGTATGGTATAGTTTATCAATACTCTCACACTGTTAGTCATTCTATAATCAGATTAATATTATAAATGTTAAAGTTTGTAAAACTGTTTGAACTCATCTCTCCGCGACTGAAACCCCCGCGTGTACTGTAAAAGGGATTTGATATGAAATCTAATATAAATACGTATCCTAAACTAACACATTAGATACTTTTTACCCGTATAAAATAATATGTATGTAAAGGATTTTCACGTGATACACATTTTATTGTTATTTGAATAAAAGTTTTGCTTTAAATCTTTCTGGCGCTACCGGCAACAGAAAAGATGTAAATAAATATGTTGGGACATTAACATACTACCATCTAGTTCCATGGTAAGCTATGAGGCTAGTACTATGGGTATGGATATTAAATAGTTGATACACTACACATATATATCTTTAAATACATACATATTATAAATATAAACAAACATGACTGGAGTACACACATTCATGCTCATCACATAAATGAATGCCCCCAGCGAGACTCAAACCCGCGAACGCTGCACAGCAACTAGGGTTAATACACACTAAATCAACCGTGTCGTCAATACGTTATAAACGAAGTCACGGGCAGAAACTGGCACAAAGTAACTTTTCAAAACAAACATCCAGTTATTATACAAGAGTCCATTACAATATTGTAAACACACTCGTAATCAATGGAAGGCAATCAAAATCGAAAACCTTCGGCGCATTCAGCGAAAATTACCCCGTGGGGCCGTTCGCGTAATGAGAATTTTGAACTACCTCTGTGAAGTAATTATATTCTCATCGAATTTGTTGGGCAGCTTGTTGATAGCATATGAAATATTATAGCCTGGAACCTTACATATAATTATACATATTGTAATAAGGTCAATTTGTGAATTGATTGTTTTGAATAATAATTGGCGCTTAGTCGACATTTCGGATGTTAGAGTTAATCTGTCAACCAAAATTTACTTGAATCATTTAGAATTTTGCATTATATTTATACTATCGTCGTTCGTCGATCGTCCGTCCGTTATGTATATATATATATATATATATATATATATAGAACCTGCAGCTCCGCTCACGCTAAACTACAACAAAATCTCTAAAAAGGTAGGTTTCATACAAACTTTCATCCCTATTTTCACCCCGACCCAATAAAACTATCCTATATTCTTCCCAGGGTCTCAAACTATCTTCTTACCAAATTTCATCTAAATCGGTCAAGAAGATCGATAGATAGATAGAGATTACCCACTATAAAGTCACAAACTCACAAACTTTACCTCTTTATAATATTACAGTATATATAAAAAAATCCTGATTGGACTATTACAGCCGAAATGTGTTGCAAAAGCGCCAAAATGAAAAATTAAAATAGTAGTACTTAAAGCTTATTTCAAGTAAGTCAAAACTCCATCATAATGCAGGGATATAACCGCAATAAACTCCAGCAGTGCAGTTTATTAGTAGGTCATGTCTGCTCATATTACACGATAATTAATTTTTAAGAAATAAGACTACAACGACTTCTCACAGAAAACCTTATTTGGTACAAAACTACACAGTGTGAGCCTTATCAAGTGCCATGGTTTTATAACATTAAACTTAATCTATATCCATACTAATATCCATAATTAATATTATAAATGTGAAAGTGTGTTTGTTTGTTTGTTTGTTTGTTTGTTTGTTTGTTTGTTTGTTTGTTTGTTTGTTGGTCCTTCTTTAACGTCGAAACGGAAAAATGGATTAGCGTGATTTTTTGTGTGGAGATAGTTAGAGAGCTGGAGAGACATAGGCTATTTTATACCGCGGGAGATTACCTAATTTCTACGGGAAAACACTTTAAAATACAATGCAAAAAAATATTTATTATTGGAATTACTTGAAACTTGGTATTAATGCTCTTCAATAAAATTAAATGAATGCGTGTTTTAGGATTTTTCGAAATTCATCCCATAACGGGGTAAAATAGGGGATGAAGGTTCGTATGAAACAAGTGAAGCAGCGGGTTCTGCTAGTAATATATGTATAAAACAAAATCGAGTTAGTTACACCACTTGTAACTCAAGAACGGCTGGACCGATTTTTATGATCTTTGATTTGTTGGATTTGTCTCCGTCCCGAATAGCAGAGTAACTATTAAAACATAAAAAAAATCACGAAACATAAAAAACTAACGAAAAAAAATATACATAGCTAACGCTAGCTAATAACTATTTATATCTATTTAAAACGTAGGTATGTAGGGACACACCCAAACGAAGTGAAGGTAAATCGCTAGTAGAAAATACATATATTGTGGTTAGTCTTACACAAATTACGATTTGGATATTATCAGACAAATTTTACATACGAAAAAAAGCTAAATTCACCTTTAAGTAATAGTTGTAATATGCCAGACGACGTTCAAGACATCTTTGTGGAGTATGTTAAACTTCAAAGGGAGAGATAAGCAATACTGCAAAAACTGAATATTAATTGTGATATCGACCACACTTAAGTATGTTAGCGAATATATTAAATATTTATGTAGTTAAAATTTTGGTAGACATGGTTTTGGGACATTGAATCTATTTTCTTTTTTTTTCTTAATATATTTGTGGTGTTGTACTTAGGTAAAATACGATGGGACTGAAATGTCCTTAAAAGGTTAGAAGCCCAATTAAAAAAAAATGATTTAACAAAAAAAAAACTTGAATGTCACCTAAAAACTATCCCACCCTTAGGCGTGGAATCATCAATTAACACACAGACGAATTGTGTACTGTCCCCTTTATAAAGTTACTGTAAAACCAGCAAATAAGCTTTAAATTAAAATTTTGAAAAATAACTTAAGCCGATTCGCAGTCACTTAAAAGTAACAAAAAAAATTAAAACAGACAGTCTTTGGGACTGCCGACAGTAGTGACTTTACTTTGGAATAATTGTATTTTTTTTAATTTTCAATACATATAGTATCTATGAATAATTAAAATTTAATAATTTATTAATTGAAATTAATTTTATTTCGATTTTCATATCTATTGGCACTCCAAACAATAAATATGTATTTTTTGATATAGTTTATTTATTATTCAAAACAAACAACGCTGAGCGTCGCCAGTCTGCGCCAAACTTGTGACAAGTGACGTGTCGACACGTCACACCATAAGTTTTACCCCTACCAAAAATCACTTAACGCGGCTAAAGAAGTTTTCGCTTCAATAACAGAACAGGATTTTTTTATTTACAAAAGACCTGTGTATCGTGATTCTATCAATAAGAAGAATTTTACATGGGATCTGCAAAACACTTTAAACTGTAGGTATTCAACATAAGCGTACTAACAAGTGATAAAATTATTGACATCATTCGAGACAAGCGTAGACGTCAAAAAGCACTAAAATAAATAATAAATATAATATAAATATGTTGGGACATTAACACACAGCGCCATCTAGTTCCATGGTAAGCTACGAGGCTTGTGTTATGGATACCAGATAGTTGATACACTACACATATATAACTTTAAATACATACATATTATAAATATAAACACCCATGACTGGAGTACAAACATTCGTGCTCATCACACAAATGAATGCCCCAGCGGGACTCGAACCCGCAACCGCTGACACAGCAAGTAGGGTCACTACAAACTGAGCCAAACATGTCGTCAAAAGTTTTGTATTGGGTGTGAATAATGGAGCGTCTTTTGTTCACAATGAAGTCGTTACCTCTAATGTTGTAGCGTTTAATAATCCATATATTTTATAATGACAGCTATCGATACCCTTTGCGGCTTGGCAATATAGTATGACGTTATAAGATTTCTACGAACACCCATCATTGTATACTTATTTATTTAAAAGTTGTGCCGGATTATTTACAAGGGATTTATATATTAAATTAAAAAGTTGGAGTTGTCACAAATTGTTAATATATAAATATTTGAGTATTTCTGTCAAGAAATACTCAGTAATCATCCATCGAACTTTGAAAATCACAGGAAAAGAGAGTGCACTTATGTCTGCCGTAGCCAAAATTGATCAGGAGGATATTATTATATAAATATTTAATTTAATAACTGATTGCTCTGCCATAAATAGGCAAAAACAAAACAGTTCAGTGCCTTCTTATCCTCTGTTTGTCAACCGATTTATCTTTGTTTATACGCTTTTGATAGTTTCAGTTTTAATAAAAAAGTTCTGGAAAATCAGTTTTTCTTATATACACACATAGGTGTAAATTTTATTCATATATATAACTCTCAACACTGACTTTGGTGGAATTTCAACCATTCGGCGAACTTTAAGAAATTAAAGCTTGAAAGTAGGAAAAAAAGTGATAGTTGCGTTAATATAGAATGATTCATAACAAAATATTTTCAAATATGTTTTCATAAAAATAAAATTCTGCAAGTCAAAAGCATATGGAGAAGTTATTTTTTTATTTTTAATGTAAAAAATTTTTAAGGGTGTTTTACAGGACGACCATACAATGTTTTTATTTTTTCTAAAAGAAGAATTCAAGACGAAAAGGATAAGCCCTATCTGAAAATTGAGCGTTTTTTTTTAAATATAAACGCCTATTACAAAATAATAATAACAAAGTCAAATTAATATTCAGAGAGTTCATTTTCTTACATAATCATATATTTATTTTTATTTACTGTCACGTACGTACTTGTTTTGAAATACCCCATCTATCGTACTCCTTAACCTTATAATGGAATGAAGTATTAGACAATTGACGATATTGCGAATGCTAAATAGTGAATACAAGATGTTCATGATAAAAATAGCACAGATTTTCCAGATTTTGGAATATATCTTATATATATATATTCACAAGCCTGACATTGCTCTAAAACGATATCAGATATTTTCAGACCGTGAAATGTACGAGTATGTTCGTTTCCAACGTAGGAAGGTTTTTTTATGCTTTAGTAACGACACATCTGTTATGTCCAGATGTAAAATATATGTACCTACAATGTACATTGTACAAACTTATATATTTACTAGCATTGCCCGCGTCTCCATCCGCGTTCAGATGACCAAAAACCAAATACTTAGGTTTTACATATTTGTATACTCTTAAATTACAATTTTTGTATTTTTCTCAGAAATGAGATATTTTTCCGCGGTAAAAAGTATCCTATATGTTGACCCGGATAACCAGCTATCACCATACCAAATTTCATCAAAATCCCTCCAGTGGTTTTTCGTATCCCTCTGTATCGATAATAAATATTGTTCCATTATACATCAACCAAACAATGGTCTACTGTCATACTGTTGAGGATTCAATCCATTAACGCTGGGAGAGAATAAACAAACAAAATATAGGCCCAATGCACTAAAATAATAAAAGAAAAGCTCCCTTTCGATAACATTTCCACTAAATAAATAAATAAATAGTATTATAATACAGCTTATTACAATACGCAATAAACTGAAGTGATAGTGATTCACCATTCCCTAGGTTTGAATTGGCCTCGGTAAAACTGACTGATACTGGAATATATATGTACGTATAATCGTCTAATTGCGCATTGCATAGGATAATATTGAAGTACTCGTAGTATGAGCCCTTTTTGACACCCCACTACTGGTCGCTGGCGTCCCTTCAATACCTCTTTTATTTTATTTATTTATTTATTTGCATCCACTAGTGATAATTACATGGAAACATTTTTAAATTAACGACACGATTTAACTTAATCCTAAATGCATTACCTTTTAAAGTAAATTAGAAATTTCAATAAATAAGATATAAATAAAACTGCAATAACATCACTACCTATAAATTATCGTAATTGAAAAAAAACACAGACACATTAAAGCTATTAAATAATATGGAAGCATTAAACTTCAATAAATAATTAATTAAATAATAAAAAAATATTAAAAACTTCCAAAATAGAAAAGAATTTTTTTTCGAAAACTTGATAGGTTCTCTCAGACATACAGGTTTCCTCACGATGTTTTTGAAAATAATTCGCTCATGAAAATATTAGAGGTGCGAAACCCGGGATATATACGCCTATTGTAAATTGATTTTTATATATTAATATTTGAACACAAAATTTCACCCATCTTAAGCTTTGAAGTCCCGATATAAATAAAAAGTATATAAATAAAAATAAAATTAGTCTTTGAAAAGTTTTATTACAATATTGAGCACAGATTGTAATAATAAAGCCCTATTACAAAAGATCAAGACCAAAAAATGTTCCATTAGCAAAATAAACTTAGGGTCCAAACACGTATATAGGGGCCCGCTCACGGAGCTGGAGTCTCGCGGTGTACTTCATATTTTGAATGTCATTTTCCGTCACGAATTCAATCCTTTGCAATTGTCCGTTAGGTAATAGAACATAGTATGTACCCACACTTTTTTTGACCTCGACGGGACCGTCTAGTTTTTCAGCAGCAGGATTATCTGTGGTTGTGGCATCAGTTAGTGGAACTCCATATGTATTTTCTGGAACACCGTAAGTATTTTCTGGGACTCCATAACTAGTTGCTGGTGGAGCTTGTTCCTGGGGAAGAGTGAAGGCTTGGCCCTCAGGTTTCCATCCCGAAGGTGGGTAAGGTCCGCTTTGTTCAGGTGGTCCATAGGTGTCAGCTGGCGTCGAAGTTACTTCTTGGGGTAAAGTAAATGCTTGACCAGACGGCTTCCATCCAGATGGAGGATATGGTCCCGATTCAGTTGTAGGTTCCGTTGGTGAGTCAGTCGTAGTTGGTGCTAGTTCCTGGCGTTGAAACCTAAACCTCGCTGGTCTGAAGTGAGGTAGTTCAGCCATAGCACTGACAACACAACAAATTACCACCAAAAATTTCATGTTTGGAATTTAGATAGAACTGACTGGAACACTCTTTAATTGATAACTGATGCCTACTAAATTAAAACTGGTGAATTTATACTAACGTGATTTGTTTAATTGTTCTTTGTATATCAAAAATGGTTCGAGTATAAGGTTGTTAGAAGGATAGATTAATGAGAATATAGTCAAGCTGGCCACGTATAAGGTGACTGACATTGACCCTTCTGACGTCAGTGGCATTGGGCTTCCCTGGATGAGTCTACAATATACTGAATGGCTTAAGCTCTTAAAATTCAAATAAAAAATATACGTTTAGGACAATTAAAATTCAAATAAAAAAAACGAATTGGACTAAATTTCGTTTCCACGATTTCTTTGAAGCAACTAACAAATAACTTACATATTAAAACAATAAAAATGTATTTATATTATGTCATACAATATCATTACCAAGCCCATCGTTGCGGTAAGACATTACAAATGAAAGGCGCGTCTCCGATCACAATGCCGGACGTGATTTACATAAGAAACGTTAGAACGCTATGGGCACGTTTCGTGATTAAGGTCGAATCAACGCACCGTTTTTCTTACTGTAAAAATACTTTTCATAACGTAAATAGAAAAAAAATCTATTTGTATCCAAATTCTACTTTTTGTTTCTTATAAGTTTATGTGTCAAATATTTTATACTAACTTTCATGCTTTTCACTATTAAAATTTGGGTCAGTAGTAACTGTTATACCAAGCTATCAAAAACAAGAAAATCAAAGTTACACCTGAACACCTGAACACGTAAATTAAAATTGCCTTTAGTCATTTTGGGTTTACAGTAGTATTTTATACGGCATTTTCAGTGGTTTGTTCGGTTCTATTCCCAATTGTATAAAATAAATATTTTTCGCACTCTTAGTAGGTATATAATGCTATTCCAACGTTACATTCATACTTCTTCAAAGTCGAATACTACTCGTACACTGTAAAATATTTAATATCATCTAGATTGTATAAAATCCAATTTAATAAATGATAAATCGTTCAATATTCTTTGTACCAACATATCTCATATGAGAAAATTAAAAATCCAGCTTCATATGTCCTTTGCAGTTTAAAAAGTAAAACATCCAGTGCCAAGCGAGAGATTGCAAAACTAATAAATAAAATCATACAAAATATTTATCTACATATATATAAATACGCAAAGACAAAACAGATCTGCTGCTTTTTCTCCTTTGCTTGTCAAGCGATTTCTTGTTTAGTAGCTATTAACTTTAAAAAAAAATCAAGTGTCTGTTTGTAATGTTAAAATAACAGCGTTTTACTAAATGCTACGAGCATTAATGTTATCAATAAAAATAAATAAAAAGAGTTTTTTTATATACTCGTAGATAGGTAAATTCAATGGATGTTTTCTACAAATTTTCATTTATGATTATTGTCGAACTTTGACCACTTGTTAGTTTCTTTGTTTGCTTCAATAATTCAACTTCCAGCTATAATATACGTACATACCTAATACATATATACAGAGAAAGCTATAATAAAATATTTATATTATCCTATATGTTGACCCGGATAATTAATGTACAGGTACGACTCAGAATTTTATTATATGTAAAGATTGTAAAGTTGCATTTCTCTAAAAGCGTTTTAATGAAAAAAAATATATTTTATTAATTTATTATGATGTATGTAGGTATAAAGCATTTATTTATGTGACATGGGCCTATAGGAATGTTAAAAAAACAGGGCACAGATATTCATTTGTTTCCCGGGCTTTTCAATATGTCGGTATCACCTTGTAGTAACTGGTGTTGAAAAAAACATTTTTGTGAATATTACTGAAAAATATTATTATATATTATGTAACTTATTATTCAAAAAATTAATTGTTGAGTTTGTCGTCGGCTATGCTCGCGGAGCCGGTGGTAGTTTCCACACGAACAGACGTAATGATGATTTTAAAAGAATTAAGTTGATATTCCAAAAGTACTGAATATAAGGATATATGCAAGGAATATTTCTAAGTTTTATTAGTGTCGTCCTACAGTATTATAATCCAACCGTTATAATTATAACAGAAACAAACTAGATTCCCTTTGCCCAATATCAGTCAATTGAAGCTTGCGATACAATTTATTTTTATCATATCAAGATTTTATATGCTATGAACAACACAGCTTGAGCGTGTAGTGGACGACAACGCAAGAACACTCACCGCTCCACAAAGGCGACGTTCAATTTTTATCTGGAACAGAAATGACGGGAAATTAATTGAAACAGTTCAAACAAAGTAGTGTCCTAGGTAAGAAATAACTTGCTGTTTGATAGAGAATATTATTCATGTGTCAAAGTTAGGATTTTTGGCTTTAACTTTAATACTTCCTCTTTTAAAATATTTTGCGTTCATACTTATGAACGCAAAATATATATATATATATATATATACATAAAATTTGTAAGGTTCTGTCAGTTTTTTCATGTTTTCCTTCACCGTAAGACGGAAATGAAAATATAAGAGGTGCGAAACCCGGTATTTGAACCCGCTTCACTCGGTTTTCCAAGCGAGACCACTTGATTACCACTGCCCAAAAAAAACATAAGGCACTAAAATAAAGCTCTCCTTTTATCATGAAAATATTTTAAATAGAATGCGAATATGTAAGTATGAATGAGTTTTCTTTCGTTCGCAAACAACTCAAATTACGAGTATCAAGACCCTTTATGTAATTTTCAAACTTGCAAATCAAAATCTTCTCGTTTCGTCTGGAGTAAAACTAAAATATACCAGGGATGGTAAAAATATAAAAAAAATTTAGGAAAATCTCATAAGAACAGCTGGAAAATCGAAAAGTTCAGAACTGGTTATTTTATATAATAATCACTACTTCGGATTACTTTCAATAGTGGTGGACCTACCATCTACAACAATACGTCAAATTTAAGTTAGAAAAAAATAATATATGTATATAACAGTACATAATATATAGTCTATCTATTCTATACTAATCGTTAAAACGCACTAGAGACGAACCCGAGAGAAGCGAGGGTGAGTCGTTAGTTATAGTTAAAATATTATACATCAACTAGCATTGCCCGCGGCTCCGCCCGCGTTCAGATGAGCAAAAACCTAATTCTTAGGTTTTACATATAAGTATACTCTTACATTTCAATATTTGTATTTTTTCTCGAAAATGATATATTTTCTCGCGATAAAAAGTATCCTATATGCTGACCCGGATAACCAGCTATCACCATACCAAATTTCATCAAAATCCCTCCGGTGGTTTTTCTGTGATGCGGTAACAGACAGACAGACAGACAGAGAGACAAAAATTCTAAAAACAATAGATTCAGCCTCTGTATCAATAATAATATCTATTTCAATGAGATTTTCCAAAAAATATTTAATGTACAGATTCGGCTTATTTACAATTTTATTATATGTATAGATTGGTGATGTACGAGTATTTATACGTATCGAAAGAGATTTGCATGCATTTTTCATAACGCGTCAAAAGAAGTATAACATCAGAAATGAAGACTTAATCTGACCGACAGCACTTTTATAATCCCGCATTTTCAGTCACCGATATTTATTTTTTAAATAAACATCTGAATGGTGGCATTGGACACAAAGAAACATGATGACGTAAATCCCTCGATATTCCTTGGAGAGGAAATAGAACATTCCAGAGGCAATGACAAATCCTTTTAGAAATGTTTTTTTTTTATATATTTCTATTTTAAAGAATGAGTTCTATTTACCCGCTTTTTAGAGGAGAAGTTTCAGTTTTATTGAGGTATTTGGAAAGTCTGAAATAAGTTTTGTGTTGTTTTAGTTCAGTAAAAACCTCATTGAAATTAATTTTTATATTATAATACCGATTTACCCTCGCACTTTTTTTGAGCTATTTTTTTTATAAAATAAAAGTAGCCTAGAAACTTAGGCTTATAAGCTACTTGTCAGTGAAAGTCCCGTCAAAACCAGTCCAGCCATTTCCGAGATTAGCCGGAACAAACAGACAGACAAAAATGTTAAAAATTATGTTTTTCTTATATGTACCGTATATACTCGTAATGTCATTATATGCATTTATTAAAAAATTTTTTGCAAATTAATAGATTATGTATCTCTATTTCATTTTTTTTTGTATAATTTACGAATATCTGTTTGAACATTTCATTTACATTCAATTAGATTTTAGGTAAAACCTCTTGTTAATACTCAATTTAAAAATACTCCTTAAATAATTACACGGATAGTAAGCGTTCAATTATAAATTCCATGAAATCGACAGAATCTCGTTACACCGACATCAATGGGCGTGATGTTGACTGGATATTCCCATTAGTATGCTAAAATGGTCGAACAAACTTATATAGTGCAAGTGTTGAGTTGGTAGCGATAATAAACTATATTTCATACCATGGGCTAACTTTAGAAAGTTTTTAGCTGAAGAAACTTCACATTCAATATTAAATACTCACTCACCCTCCCTTCGCTGCGGTTATTATCGATACAGAGGCCAAATCTATAGTTTTTAGAATTTTTGTCTGTCTGGGAACGCATCACGAGAAAAGCACTAGACAGATTTTGATGAAATTTGGCATGATGATAGCTGGTTATCCAGGTCAACATATAGGATACTATTTACTGCGAGAAAATATCTTATCTCTAAGAAATCTTTACTAAACGTTAAAACGTAAGTAGAGACAAACCCGATCGTAGCGAGGGTAAGTCGCTAGTTTAATATAAAATGTCAAATATTCGCGTAACTCGTAAGAAAAACAAAACAGTTTAGCACCTTTTTCTCCTCTGTTTGTCCGATTTTCCGATTTTTTTCTTTTTTTATATAGTAGCTTTTATTGACGATCTTTTGAGCTCTCAATAAAAAAATCTTAGAAACAGTTTTTTTTATATATAAATAGATAAATTCTATTCATATAAGTTTTCCTCAAATTTTCAACCATGATTATAGTCCAATTTTGACCATTGGATGAACATTAGTTTTATGAAT